GCTACCTCATAGGACTCCTCATAAGCTACCTATAACACATGTGAAAAAATAACCATTTTTTATTCAATAATTCCCTTCTTCTAACCTTAACCTTCAAGAGTATATATTATTCCATTCATATCCTCACCCCCCACATTTGGTACCATTTTATGCAAAAAGAATTGGGAAAAACTCTATCCCACCAAGTGTAAGACTATCACATTGTGTAATCTCACAATATCAGTTGAATTTTTCTTAGATCCTGTTAAATCTACTACTTTCAAAGATTTATTTCTTTCTGCGAATAGCTTCCTTTTAATGAGGAGAGATTCTCCTAATTTTTTCAGATTTGATTTTGACTTATGACTCCTTTAATTGAATTTTTCCCGAAATCAGCCTTTTACCGATATAATTTGTCTTTAAATATTTTAAAGCTAACCTATACATCTTTAGAGGCTGAGAGTAATTTTAAAATTCATAATAATCTCTCAAATAATTGTATTATTTTTTTCATGAATTTTTGAAGCCTCTACATATTTTAAATAATTCAATTTTACCAATTTTTCCTTATTTAGCCAAAATTTCATGAAATTATAGAAAATTTCAAAATAAATTATTTCATGCTATTTTCATCTTTCATGCCTCAAATACTGTCTTAAACCCTTTATTCTATTTTTCATGAATTTTTGGAAATTTTTAGGAATTTCGAGTATAATTTTTAATTTTGTCCTTCCTTAACCGAAACTTTTCAAAATGATGATCAGGTCCTTCCTTGAGTTTCACTTCAAAAGGTGTTTTCTCTATACTTTTACTACACTATCTAGCTCTCAATCAATTCTAAATTTCTCATTTTTTATGTTAAAATTAACAAGATATAACAATTACTAAGACATTGTTTCAGCCTGCTGTTTAATATATTTTAGGTGAAAACTTTAAAGGAGGAATGTTAGAGAGTGCTAAGGAGGATTAAAGCTACAATAGGGACTTGTAGTGCCTCCTCCATCTATAAATTATGTTGTTTCCTATAAATTGCCACCCTAGGACAATCATGTTTTTGTACCTTTTTACTTTTTTTATTATGGTATGCTTGATGATAGTTGACCAGAGACCTAAGATTGTATATAATTTGTCATACCCTTTTATTTTTTTGTTATGGTATGCTTGCTGGCAGTTGACCAGGGGCCTAAAATTGTATATAATTTATTTATTATAAATTTATCATAAAATATGAATTAAGACTTTATTCTTACTATTTCAATTTATGACCTATATAATATGTTGTTTTATGACTGTATTAGATGAGATTGATCTTTTTTCACATAGTTTGCATTTGAATAAATTAAGAAAAGTTCTTTTATCCGTGATAAGTCGTATGATTGGGTATTGTTTATTTTTATCACGGATAACATTATTATATAATAAGTTAGTTTGTATGATTGTGATAAATTTGAGTTTATTGTTAGCATGATTTGGTTATAAAAAATTATTTCTTGGAGTTACTCTAAAAAAATTTAAGTTTATTGGTTTATTTAGGAAAGTTGTGTCATACATCTCTACCTTTAATTTTTCTTGTTAGCTACATAGGGTATTCTAGATTTTTAACAACATTCAAAGATCTCTAATTAGGGCTCTTAGCCTAATTAAGAATTTGCTAAAAGTATAGGTCTAAATTTCAACAATATTATAAATAAAATTTAAAGCAATAATATTACAATACAAAATAAATTACAATCTACAAAATAAAATAAATATATAAAATAACAAGTATAACAAAAAGTATACCAAATGTTAAAATCAAATTAAATGATAGCAAAAATTTAGCACAAAATAATTTAAGAAAATAATAAATATAAGGGACAAATTAAAAAGTTAAATATATTACAGAGTTAAAAAGTTTAAGTAAACAAAAAATAATAAACATAAGAAATAAATTAAATTAATTATTAATCAAACTAACAAAAATAATATCGTATTTTAATAATGTAATAAAAGCTACATTTGAATTAAAATATAAAGGGATATATTAATTTATTAAGTAAATTCCAAAAAGAATAAATAAGCAAATTAAACAAACAAAATAAATAACACATTCACATAAAATAATTAAATAAACAACACATTTAAAAAATTAAATAAAAACAAATGAGGAAAAAAACAATTAAAACATTACTAAACAAAGAAATAACATTACTAATATAACAAACAAAGTAAATAAACAAATTAAGAAATTGTATAAATATAAAAAAATTTAAATAATTAAAATAATAACTTAATTTTTATACACATCTAGGTAGCTGATGGTAGAATTGGATTTGGAGCAAGATTTGAAGCTGGATCTGAAGTGAGGAGAGAATTTTGGCAGAGCTTCATTACTCAAACTCGATAAAACCTAAAAAATGAGGAGAGCAGCGCTTATATGGGCATTCACTCTGTAGCAGTTCTTTAGAGAACCGCTATAAAGTGTTAATGCATCGCATAGTATATTGTAGTAGTTATCTTGCAAACCGTTACAAACCAGTGACATATGTCTAGCAAACATCGAATAACACTACCCTTTATAGTAGTTTATCTGACAACTGCTACAAACTTCATCATCTAGAGATTTCATCACTGACCATCTTTGTAGCGGTTTCCCTAAATAGCTACAAAGTGCGCAATTTGTAAAAATTTTTAGCTCTCACATAACTATTGCAACGTTCTTGTTACAAAGGTAGTGCCAACTTGGCACCTTAATAGTAGCGGTTTGATTGTCATTACCGTGGCAAATTTCTACTACAAAGGAAGCGCCAAGTGTCAAGTTGGTGACAATTTTGTAGCAGTTTATTTGCCCATAACCACTACAAATTTCCACCACAGACTTGTTTGTGGTCTAAATGCTACAAATTTGCAGCGATTTACCCTCAAATCGATACAAATTGCATTAGTTTTCATAACTGCTACAAGGGATTCGCTACATACAGTGTATTTTTTGTAGTGAGTTATCAGCAATGTTTTTTTTTAATAGCATCACGTAATTAAAAAGACAATCTTACACATAGATTAGTCATGCAAAGCAAATAAAAATTTGGCCAAAAGAAAAATTCAAAGAGAAAAGAGGCAATGGAAATATGATCATATTTTTTTAATATGAAAATTATGGACTTGCAGTCCAAACACATGAAATTTAAGGTTTTTATGAGATATATGAACATTTATGTGAAAATTAAAATTTTCATAAAGGCTTGATGATGATTCTGGTGAGGCATAATATTTTGTAGTGGATGGAATTATTTTTGCATTAATTACTAGTCTAATAGTAAATGGAAAACGAAATATGAATTTGATAGATGCTACATCCCATGCATGTGGCTCATCAAATAATGAAATTTATGTGAGAATTCTTGAGTGACTTAAAAAGCCATAAGCTTGCACAAGAAAATCATTTGACATATGAAATGTTATGTTGATTAAGATGTAATCTAAGTATACATATTTGACTCCAGAAAATTGGAATGAACTTTCATTTGACTTGACTAACAAATCAAGTTATTGAATGTCTCAATGATCTCTAAATAATAAGTTTTTGCTATGATGATTTTATCCACCAAAATATATCAAATTTAATGGACTTGAAATTCTTATATCTTTATTCTACGACTATATTCAAATATATTGTTGATACTACATGTTGTGATTAAGTTCTTGCAGATATACAAATAGACAGTGAAATTGAGATTTGATATGATAGTTCTACGAAACTATTATATAAGATCATTTAATAAATTGATTATGTGGATGTAAGATATATCATGGTGATTGCCAAGATAACTTTTCATTTGTTATTTTCACAATGCATAAGAAAAGTAGAGACTATATTGATAACTCAATATATCCAAAAGATATGTTGAAGAAATATATTTAAAAAATATTATATGATAATAATGCATCATGCATTATTCGGCTAAAAAAAAAAAAAGATATGCTCAAAAAGTATTAGAAATAATCTACTTGAAGAATTAGTATACTTTATTGAATAATAAAATGATAAAAGTGATATTGTCATTACGAGGAGTAAAAGTGATATTGTCATTATTAGAGGAAATAAAAATCATGTTGTACTATTTTCCTTAACTAAGATTTTGTCCCGTTTCTTGATAAAGTTTTTAATGAGGCAACTTCAATATATATTGTATACTCTTTTTCTTCATTAGGTTTTTTTCCCCAAGGATTTTTTCTGGTAAGATTTTAATAAGACACAAGATTTGTGTATGAATATCCAAGAGGAAGTATTATAGATATTTTAGCTGTGTGGATATCCATACCATAGCATCCAAGAATGCAGCTTTTCACCTTCCACCTCATATTGAAGACATTATACCTTATAACCCCTGAATTGAAGGGTTTATTGTATTTATTCCCTATAAACTTCATTTGTACAATTAAGTTATTTAGTTCTCTTCTTTATGTTGTAACTCTTTGGGGTTGGTTCTCAATGTTGGAGTTCTACAAATAGAGGTGAGGTCCATACATTTGATGCCACAAAATGAAATAAGAATTACTCTCTCTTTCTCTGCAATTCTCTCTTGTCTTGTTCATTTCTCTTAAACCTAAATCTCTCTTGTATTTTCCTTATTTTCATAACAAAAACAAAATTATTGAGATTTAATAATTTTCTTAATTTTGATGAAACATATTGGAAGTATTTTACAAGAGGTATAAAGATTATTCTAAATCTAAAATGAGAGTCATGTTATACATCGTTATCAATTAATTTTATATTTTTAGAATTAATATTGACAATTAATTATGTTTATAAAATGGAAGACAGATGAGGATAGGAAAAGAGAGGGAGAAAAACAGAGAGAATGCGGTGCGTAGTACAGAGAAATTGGCCCTGAATGAAAATGGCGGAAAATGGGACTAATAATTATAGGCGAGAAATTATGGCGTTGACAAATGGTGAGGTGGTAGAACAGTGTATATAGTCTATACTGTAATCCAAGTGGCGATCTCTCTTTTGATGATGATGATGATTATTATTATTATTATTATTTTACATGTGTATGTATACATAACCTTCAAGGTCGCTGCATTGTCTAATCCACTCTCAACTCCTTCAAATGTTTCAGAGACGTTTGGCCCAGAATTGTTCTTCTTCCAGTCTTCTTTTGTATTGATCTCTGCCTCTTGATCATCACCTCTTTTGGATCCACCAGCTTCTTCATCAACCACAGATCTCCTCTTAAATGTTTTCTTCACATTATTTCACTTGACTCCCCCGGTTTCTGCCGATATGAGCAATACAATGAGACCCAGTGCTAAAGTGATGTTTCATTTAGTCTACGACAGGGGCTGACACTAACCCTGTCAATCCATTTCCTTCAATTCTCTCTTCTTCTTCTTCTTTCTCCTCCTACATCTCTCTCTTCAGGTTCGTCCTCTGTGACTTTGACTTCTCTGAGGTTTTCATTTTCTAACATCATCCTCTTTCGTTTCTGGTTTAATTGATTGCGGATACAAACACAGACACACACACACACACACACACGCATACATATATTCCTTTCTCCGAGAATGGAATCGAAAAAAGGGAAAGGAAAGAAAGGTCTGATCATCAAGACATGGGAGCGATGCAAGTCTATCGGACGCGGCGGCAAAAACAAACGATACAAGGCGATTGAATCATTGATGGGTATGGGAAGCAGAAGCAAATCCTGCCCTAACTTTGACCTCAAGGTGTTCGGAGAAAAGCCATCGAACAAGAAATCCCATCATTTTGCTCCAGAAGGTTGCTTCTCCGTCTACGTGGGCCCTCAGAGGCAGAGATTTGTGATCAAAACAGAGTTTGCCAACCATCCTCTCTTCAAGATCTTGCTGGAAGAAGCAGAATCAGAGTATGGATATAACAGCCAAGGCCCCTTAATCCTTCCCTGCGACGTTCACATATTCCTTAAGGTACTCATGGAAATGGACCAAGAAACTGATGAAGAAATCCGTCAAGGCTGTGCTTTTGTGAAGCGTTCTGGCTCATATCACCTTCTAACTCCATCTCGAGTGCTCGCCATAAATCCCCCGTGAACTGATCTTTGTGAATTCAGAGTGTTTTGGTTTTTCTTCTCTGCTTTCAGTTTCTTCTGTGCTTCTTTTACTTGAAGCAGTGCACTTTTAAGCTTGAATGCAAATACAATATGTATATCTATATATATGTGTGTGTGTGTAGCATAAGGGTGAATAAGAATTTTATGGTGAGTTTGTGGCATTTGGATGATCGAGATGAAGACTATAACTACTGGTTAGTGTTAGGATTTGTCTAAGTGGTCTGCGAGTGTCGTCCATGGCTTGTAATTGCTGTGACGTATCAGATATATAATAACTGGGTAATTGCTTGCTTTAAAGCTTATTGATAATGGACACCCTTTTGTTGAATTTGATTACAATATTCGATAATTTGTAGTTCTGGTGGCCTCTGAAATGCGAGGTTCCGATGTTTCATGTTCTGCTTACTCAGATTCTTGTGTATGCTCTTTGCTTGCTCAGTTCATGATGGATTATATTTAAGGAATCTGTTGAAATTTGTGCAGATATTGTCTTTTTTGTAGGAGAAGCGATCTGGGGGTTGACGAATTGTATGGTCTTAGGTTTACATGAGATTTGAAACGGGTGGGTTTGATTGGAATGAAAAAGTTAGTAGATCCATGGATATGCACCAGAGAAATGAGGGAATGATTATTAGGGAGGAATATCAACATTAGATCATTATGTTCATCGCTGGCCATTAAGTAGTGTTTGACTTTTAAGAGTAAAATATACCATGCAATTATCAAAGGAAGTTGGAGGTTGGAGGTACATGTAGGGGCTAGATTAAAATTAGATTGTCTAGATTGAATGTGTTCTACATCAGTATTTTTTTATTATTTTATTTTATTAGATTCAGAATCTAAAGCAAAGACAGTTTTTTTAATTGTCATTATTTAAAATGTTATAAATATAAAATATTTAAATATGAACCTTCCAAAGTTAACTTAAGTGGTTTAGATTTTATCATAATAATGAACTTTACAATGCCACTATTGTTATGAGCATCAAATTTATACACGTTGATGTGGATGTTAGGCAATGTTACCTTTATTATTCATAGGATTTAGGTTCGCTAATTCGCTCTATTCTGTTCCCCCCCCCCCCAAACAAAAGCTTATAGATGAAATAAAAAAATTTTTAGTATCATGAAGTTATCTTTTGTCCATCCAATATCATGAAGTTATATGAAGCATGCAAATGTGGAGTTCTTAATTTTTTTTTTAATAAAATTCAAATGTTATAGAATTGAAATTATCCATACGGGCCGGCCTTTTTAAGTGCGTACTCCTTTTATCATCTAGTTGAATAAACTGTTTTTATTTCAAAACAAAAATATATGCAATAACCAACAAGTGTTAGTCTAAGTAAAAAAAACTTAGGTACCTTAAACATCATGTCTTAGACTCGATCCTTAAAACGGTGTGTATGGAAAAAAAATACTATTGAGAGGGTCCTCGCTACGGCATTTGATAGTATCTTGAGAAATTAGTCTCTTACCGTCGGGTAAGAGAATCCTCTTGACAACAAAAAGAAAAAAATACAATACAAGAGAGACGTGCTTGAAAAGAAGTCAATATCCACATTGGTTTGAAAGCTCATCATCTGTATATAGCCGCCACTGCAGGGACTTAGCATTTAATTTTTCTTTGGTATATAAAGGAAAAAAGAACAGTTTTTCTGCTTACCATTAGGCGATATCTATTACGTTGGGTATTATCTGGCACATGTAGTTTTGAAGTTGATTCAATATATACTTTTTTGGCCAGATTGATTCAATCTATACAATTATATAATATTTGTTCTAATAAAAAATTATATATCATTACGTGGAAGAAAGCCTGTTTAAGGTATTCAATTATTTCATAATCAGCTGCTAATTGTGGTTGGCAGCGCATTGGATCCACCTCTTGCTCCTCATACACCAAAAACTATAGTTATTAATCACAGCGCAACTTTTTTTAATTAATCATATTAGTCCACGTACGATGGTTCGACTTGCAGTCTAATAATGTATATTGAGTCTTGCCAAGCCATGATGTTAGCCCATCCAATAATTGACAATATCTAATTTGAATATAGATAAATTAAAGGCAACAATATAATCTACTTGTTGAGTGAGGCTTATTATCATTGGTGGAAAAAAGAATGAGGCTCATTTTATTTGTTTAATTCAACAGAAAGACATAAAATAAACTAGATTATGTGGTTTATTATATTGCGCAAGAGACAAATCCAAGTTATACATACTGGTACTAAATGTAAGAGTTAAAAAGTTAAATTGTAAAAATAAAAAAATTAGCTAAATTAATTAAGTATAAAAAATATATTTAATTTGGTGAAAATACTCTATCTGGGCATTAAAAACTACTTATTTGCCAAAAATAAACACTGGGCCCGTAATATTCAATCAGTAGGAAGAGTTACTAGGAAAAAATAAAGTACTACCTTACATTTGAAATCAAAACAAACTCTTCTAATTCTTATAGTACAGAGCAGCGGAGAGAATATATAGAGTGTTCGAGATACAAACTAGGCAAGGGGTGGTGATAATGAGATTTTATATTAGTGGAGTTGACCAGGGCTTTCTATTTTGTCATCTAATTAGAGGAACGCGGCGAGGGTTGACAAACTTTTTGAACAGATATAAACCTAAACTATTTATGTTCTTTTTAATGTCCATATGTAAAAAAACAAAATCATTTATCGTTTCTTTACTCATTTAAAAAAATCCAATGTTACAAAGTAGAAATTAAGGGGAGTTATATTCTTTCCATTTCTATTTTTTTTCCAGTTTCCATCTCAACTTTCCATTTCTATATGTGTGTGTATATATATATAATATTGGGTTAATTAATGTGTAAGTCCTTATGGTTTCAACCCTTTATAATTTTTTTTTCTTTTTATTAAATCCTTATACTTTCAACTATTTTTAATCAAGTCTTTGCATTTATTTTTCTTTTTATCAGGTTCTTATAATTTCACTAAATTTATAATCAGGTCCATGTAGTTTTAATTTTTATTTATTAATTAAATATAAAATTAATTAAATAGATTAATACTGAAATATAAAATATTGATAATGAAATTAAATTAATAATTATATAATAAAAAATAAGTAATATAATTAATTCAGGGAATTTTTTTAGAACAATTAATATTTTCTTGCTGGCAAAAAATAAAATTATTATAATTATTCATTATTTTTGGAATATTATTGTTTATAAACTCATATTAAATAATATATACTATTTTGTGTTAATAGAATAGTATTATTAGAATTTATAAAATAAAGAATAAAAAATTCAGGGACTTAATTAAAAATAAGGTGAACTTATAAGGACCTGATAAAAAGAAAAATAAATATAAAGACCTAATTAAAAATTGGTCAAAGTATAAGAACCTAATAAAAAGGAAAAAAAACTATAGGGATTTAATTCAAAATTAATTAAAACTATAAGGACTTACAGATTAATTATTCTTATAATATTTTATAAAATTATCAATAAAATGTTAAATTATTAAATTAAAAAAAAAAAAGGCGGTTCAAGGCTTGAACGAAGCAAGTAGCCTAGCAACATTATACCATAAGGAACATGTCCAACATATTAGTTAGATCGATATGCTTTATTCAATTCTAATCTACTCCTCCTCTGGTCGGTTGGGGTGGAAACGCCTAGTATTCGTTTGGTCTGAGTTGGCCTGGCCTATTTTAAAATAAATAAAAAAAAGCTAAGACTTTTTTGATGGCATGTTTAGTCTAATAGGCGAGGTCTAGGCTTTTTAGAAAGCCTGTTAAAGCTGCCTGACCTAGTATGACTTATTTTTTCATCTTATTTTTAATTTTTATTTTGTACTTACATCTAGTCTTATTTTAAACTTTTAATATATAATTATAACTTGTTTTTAATAATATTAATTGTAATTAAGATTTAAATATTACTTATGACATTAAAATTTAAATAAAAGATAATAGTAAAAAATAATTATTATGTAATATGTATATTTTACATTCTTTATTAGTCTATATATTTTTTTACTAGTTATTTTGAAAATTTAAAATTACAGGTTTTTTTAACAGGTTTAGACAAGGCCAAATCTTTATACTGGCTATGTTCAGGTTGGAAAAAAATACCTATTATAAGCCACAGGCTAGTTTTAAGCGAGTATATTACTAAATAAGTGTGGCCTGTTTGCATCCTACTAGTTGGGTTCAGCTTCTCTTCTCTTCCTCTCATCGTCTTATGCCCGATGCCTGTCCACTGCCTTCAAACGACCACGTTTTGACACGTTTTCCGTGAAGCCAATACTGACCAGACCCAAGGGAGAGTAGCATCACGGTGGCATTTTATCTTTATAGCCTATTGTCACACATTCCCACTTGCTAAATCTCATTCTTTCTTTGTCACCAGGCCAAATATGATTCTTTTTTCAAAATAATACTACTTCCAGTTTTTAATATGAAAGCTAGTTTGACATTTAATTTGATTCAAAATATAGATCATATTACACTTTGTCTTTTATATTTAGCTTTTTTTTTTCAAAAATAGTCTTTGTAATAGTTATACATTTTAAAGATTTCATCAATAGTAGTTCTTGCTAACACACATAATTAATAAAGGTATTCTTGGAAAAAAACATTTATTTATTACAAATAACTAACTTAATTAATTTTTTTAATCTACTTAATTTAATCAAGTAGTTTTTATATTAATTACGAGAGGTAGTAATAATAATATAACCTCCTTAACTTTGTTTCGTGTAAATTGCATTATTAGGTTTTGAAACTCTATAGTAAATTTCTCTAAATTTTTACTTTTAAAAAAATAATTTTCAAACTAATAGTTTTGTATTTTATTTATGGGATAATTAATATACAAGTCTTTATAGTTTCAACCGGTTTTTAATAAGATCCCTATAATTTTTTTCTTTTTATCAGGTCTTTATAATTTCATATGCTTTTAATTAGGTTCTTGTACAAGTCCTTATAATTTCAACCGGTTTTTAATAAAGTCCCTATAATTTTTTTTTCTTTTTATCAAGTCTTTATAATTTCATATGCTTTTAATTAGGTCCTTATAATTTTTTTTCTTTTTACCAGGTCCTTATTGTTTTACCTTATTTTTAATTTGCTCCTTTTTTTTTACCAGCATTTTTAATTTGGTCCTTGTAGTTTTATTCTTTATTCTATAAATATTAATATTCTATAAATAATAAATTATTATAATAATCTTATGTTAATTTTTTTAAAATTTTTAGTTAAACATATATATGATTTGTTTTTTAATTCTAATGTTTATAATTATAAAATTCAAATAATAATAATAAA